GGCTTGCGGTCTCTCCTACAGAGGCAGGTTAAACGATTAACAGCTCCCCTTGAAGTACGGAAGTGGTGTCTCGGAAATGAAGCCACATGACGGAGCCAGGCAACAGGAAGTGGCATGCCCTGAGGAAGATGGCTCTGTTGGATTCGGAGCCCCAGCTGATCCCCACTGGTCACAGGGACACCGTCGCATGGGAGAGACTGAGCTCAGGGTAGGAGAGAAAAGCTAAAGCCCGAGGATCAATGGCCTGGCTTTTCCGCTTACTGTGTGTGTGACTTCGAAACACTTAACTTAAGTTACATGCCCCTGTCTTTTTCCATCTATGAATGGGAGCAGTAGTATTACCTCCCGGAGCAGCTAAACGCAATTTAAAAATGCACTTTAGGGGGGCCAGACAACGGTGTAGAGGGAAACCTGAGGCTCTGCAGGGCTGACCTACATGAGGAGGTTTGTAGGAGACCTCCTGAGTACACCAGGCACTCGTGACCATAATCGGAGCTGGGTAAGCCTTGCGGTGGGTCATGATGTCAAGACCCTGCTGAGGACTCTGTCTTTCTACTTCCCTCTCCGCCTCTCTCTGTCTCTCTCACTCAGGGAGGAGCTAAATAAATAAATAGGGCTGGCCCAGTGGTCTGGTGGCTAAAGGACAGAATCCCACATGGCCGACCCCACGTTTTCCATGCAGGACCCGGCGGCTTGCAAAGCATGCTGCACAGGTGCATCTGTGTGCCCTAAATCCTGATGGAGGAAAAGGGATTTAAAGCACGACCATGCCCCGTTGGGGGAGTACTTTCCCCCTTCCCTCTCTGTGTCTCTCCACCTCACTCTGGCAAGGGCATGCACCCTCTGACAATTGAAAATAAATAAGTAAATAAATAAATAAAAATTAATAATTAAAACTTAAAAAAAATAAAGAAAAAAAACGTTCAAAACACAGGCCTGGCACAAAGGAGTCCTCATGACAGTTTTGTAGAGTTTTCTTCTTGAATCAGCAGAACAGCTATCTGCCCAGCCCCCCTCATTGCATTCAGCTGAGGGGTCGCCAGGGTCCAGAGGGGCTGGCCTGCCCTTAGCCCAAGGGGAGGGTAAGAACTGGCCGTTCAATCGCTGCAGGTAAAGAAGTGGGTAAGAAAACACCAGCGTTAGCAGAATCCAGCTTGGGGAGGAGGGGGTGAGTGGCCGGTTGAGGTTCAAGGTGGCTCCAGCCCTGGGGCCGACGAGTTCATGTCCGGGTGAGAAGTGGTGGAAGTTTAGTGGAAGAGAGCTTTGGTGCAGACGACTTAGCCCTGTCCCTTCACCCTGGGGGGACTGCCGCTGCCTGGGCTGCATGCTGCCCGACTCCAGGGGAACCCTCTTGTGTCACTCTCGGAGTTACGCAATCCAGGTGCCTTACTACACGAGTTCCTGCCCTGGCTCTGCCACTCCCAGTCTTGCAGCCTTGAACAAACCACCCACCCTCTGAGCAGTCTGGAGGGCAGGACCACCACACCCACCTGGACGGCTATTGTATTCACACATGACCACAAGAATGACAGCACCGAGCTCCTAAGAGTTGCTCAATGAAAGCAGTTTGCTCTCTCTCCGGAACACCTCCCTCCACCCCGTACCCTTCCCAAGCGTCAGGGTCCTAAGGGGTGAGCTACTAAAGGGTGAGGCAGCCTGTACCTTGGTGGAGAGATGGAGATGGCTAGGGCGATTTGGACATAGGCGGCAGGTCCCCAGTCCTATTGTCCAGCTCACCCTAGCTTACGGCCCCTTCAGCAAGCAGAGTGGGCAGGTGCGTGACTCCTGGAGAGACCCGGATGTTGCTTCCCCTTCCCTTGAGGTCCCTCCTGGCTAATGATTCCCCAGCTCTGGGAGAGGCTCCGTCAAGCAGGTGGACCTCTGACATCTGGAGCCGACTGTCTGGCTTCCACTCCTGCCCCAGATGCCCTCCCAGGCCTGAGGTCAGGCTCCTCAGGACGTGGGGATCTTATGGGGGAAAGGGGGCTCTGGTATCAAAGGCTTGCAGGTCTGTGGCTCGGGGTTGGCCCATAATTCCCTGTACTACAGGAGCGAGGGGGACCTTTCATACGGTCTTTCCGCGTGAGTGGTGCTGCTTGTGTGAGGCAGTGGCCCTGCTAAAATCGCTAGGAAAGACCAGCCAGTAACGTGGTGGTGAAAGTGGACGGATCCTACCTGGTCAACTGTGTGGTTCAAGTCCCCGACACAGCGGCTTAAATGTGCTGAGCATGCAGGTGTGTGTGTGTGTCCCCAAAACTCCAAAAGGAGGGAGACGTAGAGAAGACATTGCAGTGGTGTGACCGTTCCCTGTGGGAGGTGCTTTCTCACCCGACTCCAAGCAAACACACCCTCTGGCAAAACAAAAAATAAAAATAAAAATAAAAAAGAACTGCCAGGAAAAACCCCTTCCATTGTGCCCCAAATTTCCCAGTGATTAATTCACTCAGACAAGATTTGATTTGAAGCCTGCTGGGTCCTGAGCTCCAAGGAGCCAGATGCCACAAAACGGACTCTGTGCAGCGGAGCCCACTCCTTGCAGAGAGAACCCCAAAGGGTAACACAGATGACACCGTGTCACAGGCTGTGGTCAGAGCAGGGGAGGCCAGTGTGCAGGCAGGGGTCCTTCCTCTGGCAGCCTCCATCTTCTCTCAGGATCGTCACCTGAGCCCCCTGCAGTCCCCTCAGGATAGGGCCTGGTAGCTGACTGGACTATAGTGTTCGGACTCCCCAAATCAAAGACAAGCTGGCGAGAGCTTTGCTCTGTTTTTATTTCCATGTTGAAATGGGACCTCAGGCTTGGGGATCAACGGCCACGGTTTTACCCGCTCTCCCCACACTGTTACCAATGGCCTGGCTGCTCGGGAGGGCAGGAGGTGACTTGATGCTGGGACACAGACCTGCCCCCTCCACCTGCTCTGAAGCACCCCTCCCGCCCACAGGAAGCCTACTGTGCCTACGCCATCATCCTCATGGCGCTCTACTGGTGCACCGAAGCTCTGCCCCTGGCCGTCACTGCCCTCTTCCCCCTCATCCTGTTCCCCATGATGGGCATTATGGACGCCTCTGAGGTAAGCCCCCACTCATAGGAGGAAGGCCTCTTGGCGGGGAGGGAGGTCTTCCCTGCGACTCTGGTGACCAAGACTCCTCATCGTAGGCAGAGCCCGTGGAAGAGGGGTCCCCTCGGCCACTGCGTGAGCGCTGAGGGAGAGTCGGCTGGAAGATGACGGGGAGCAGGGGGCAGTCCCAGTGTGGCTGGTATTGGTAGTTAATTCCAAGTGGGAAGGACTGGATTAAGGCCAGGGAGGGCAAGACCTGGCAGCTCAGGTGGACAGCCTTGAAAGCCAGCCAAAGAGTAACATATTTCTGGTTTAGTGGCTCTCAAACTTCAATGAGCATTGGATAATAACCTTGAGGCTGGGGCCAGCAAATGGTAAAGCGGTTGTGTCATTGGACTCCCATATGGTCAACCTCAGTTCAAGTCCCAGACCCAGTGACTTGAAACTCACACCATGCATGTGCGCGTGTGCGCCCAAGATCGTAGGAAGAGAACGGAGGAGAAGGGATTGTTGTGTGGTCTTCCCCCCAGGGCATGATTTTCACTTTCCCTCTCACTGTCTCTCTCTCTGGTGAGTGTGCATGCCCTAAAGCAAAAACTTCTACAAAGAAATAAATAAACCTTGGGTCTGGGCGCACCCCCAAGATTCTGGTTCAGTAGCTCTGGGATGGGGCAAGCATTTCCCTTCTGGAAGTCCCAGGTGATGGGGATGATGTTGGCCCCGGGACCACATTTTGAGAACTGCCACTCTAGTTTCTAGAAAGGGCACTAAATTACCCGGTTCATGGCTTGAAACGCAAATGGTCAGGCTAGATCCTCTCCTAAATATGCCGAGGGGAGAGAGTGTGTTTGGCAAGCAGGGAGCCTGGCTGATACTGAATGGCAGTTACTCCAGAGAACATTTCCGGGAGGCTCCAAGAGCCCAGAGGAGTGCCAGCTGGGGAAGGTCAGCGACACCCCCCTATAAGCCCAGGTCTCCCTGCCAGGTTTGCATCGAGTATCTCAAGGACTCCAACATCCTGTTCATCGGAGGGCTGCTGATGGCCATCTCCGTGGAGCACTGGAACCTGCACAAGCGCATCGCCCTCCGCGTGCTCCTCATTGTTGGGGTGCGGCCTGCCCTGTGAGTCCCCCGAGCTAGCTGGGAGAGCCTGGGGTGGGGTGGCGTTCTGGCTTCCAGTCCTGAAGGGAAGCTGGGATGGCAGTGTGTCTGTCCGTGTGTCTTCAGGCTGATCCTGGGCTTCATGCTGGTCACAGCCTTCCTGTCCATGTGGATCAGCAACACGGCCACCACGGCCATGATGGTGCCCATTGCACACGCGGTCCTGGAACAGCTGCACGGCAGTCAGGAGGGCAAGGATGTCGAGGAGGGCAGCGACAACCCCACCTTTGAGCTGCAGGAACCAAGTCCCCAGAAGGAGGAGACCAAGCTTGGTGAGAAAGGCGGCCAGGCCCTGCCCCAGCCCTTCGGTTCTCAGTGAGGATCGGCGGGGACATGCACCTCCAGGGATGGTCATCTTTGAGAGAAGAGGAAAGGACTGCAGTGACCAGCTCGTTCTGGCTTGTCTAGGACTTTTCCACATTTCACATGCCAAGTCCTGTGTGCTGGGAATCCCCTTGGTCCCAGGAAAACCAAGATGCTTGGTCCCCCTGGCAAAAAGAGACCTGGAGGGCTGGCCACGTGGCCCAGTGGTTTAAGGGAGCCAGATCCCACATGGCCGACCGCAGTCGGAGTCCACACCCCAATGACCCGAGATCAACTGGGCACATGTGTGTGTGTGCCTCAGATTCCAAAAGGATGGAGAAACAGAGGAGATGGAGTTACAGTGTGATCGCACCCCATTGGAGGGTGCTTTCCCTCTCTCTCTCTCCTCTCTCTCTGTCTCTGTCTCTTTCTCTGGTGAGCACGTGCACCCTCTGGATAAAAAGAGAAGAGAGTTGGAGTCTGGCTTCAATCTGCCTATCTAGTTTGGATGGTCCTCTTCCTTTCTCAATGTCTTAGTTTCCCTCTATCAAGAGAATTTGTCTGAGCCTTCAGGGAACATGGCCCCACTCAGACCTAGAGACAGATTTCATCCCCCCTCAGCTCAGGCCCAGCTTTCCCTGACGAGGCACCCTGGGGGCTGTGGAGCCCTGGCCGTGCTCCCCAGAGCTGGTCTGTGCCTGCGCCTAACTGCACTCTCCCTGGTTCCCAGATAACAGGAAGGTCGCACCAGTCCCACCTGCCTCAAAGGCCAAGCAGAACCAGGAGCAAATCCGCTTCACCCAGGGCATGAGCCTGTGCGTGTGCTACGCGGCCAGCATCGGGGGCATCGCCACACTGACTGGCACCTCGCCCAACCTGGTGCTGCAGGGCCAGGTCAACTCGTGAGTGGTAGAGGGGTGGGATCATGGGGTGGGGACTGAGCTCTTACTGGGGGGAGAATGGGGCTGCGGGGTACGGGGCAATGTCGCACAGCAGCCCATGTACCCCTTCAGGCTCTTCCCCGAGAACAACAACGTGGTGAACTTTGCTTCGTGGTTCGGCTTTGCCTTTCCTACTATGGTCATCTTGCTGCTGCTGGCCTGGCTGTGGCTGCAGATCCTCTTCCTGGGCTTCAAGTAAGTGGCAACATGAGTGAGAGAAGCCAGGTCCCTGCCCTGCCCTGACCTTGGGAGCGTCCAGTTGGGTCCGGTGAGAAGGCTTCTCCATCCCAAGGCACCCTCTGTGCACTTGGCCTCCCATGGGAGGGAAGTACGAGGTGGAGGGTATTAGCCTGTTAAGCCGATGAGCGAACTGAGGTCTGAGGAGTGGCACGCATGTGATATGTCGGTATGGAGTCAAAAGCAGATCTCCTTGAGCCAGCAGGTGTCATGGTGGTTGAGGCACTGGACTCCCACATGACCAACCATGGTTCAAGTCCTAGGCCCGGCAACTTGAAAATCATGCTGGACACATATGTGTATGCCCAGGGTCCCAAAAAAGAGAATGGAGGAGAAGGCATTATGGCGTGGCCATCCCACCTGGGGGGTGATTTCCCACTTTCCTTCTCTCTGTCTCTCTCCAGGGAGCACATACACCCTATGGCAAAACCTTACAAAAAAAAAAAGAAGAAGCCAGGTCTCCTGATACCCAGGCCTCTTCCCATAATGTTCTACAGTCCTTTGATAAGTGTTTAACAAGCACAGGCCATTACAGAAGCGTTTGTTGTGTTCCTACCCTGTGCTAGGCACTGTCCCTGTCCTCATAGCCCACCCACTTGTGCTGATATGGTGGGGGCCATGACAGAGGGAAGCCCAAGTGCTATGGGAGCGCAGAGGATGGAGTGCCTAGTGCAGCACAGGTAGCTGGATTCCAGAAGACCCCTGGAGGAGATAACACCTGAGCCGAATCTGCAGGACTAGAAGTCAGCCAGGTAGAGGATGGGATAGAAGCATTCCAGACAGCAGGAACAGCTTGCACAAAGCACAGAGGCACGAAAGAACATGATGTGTTTGGGGGAACTCTGTTCTGTAGGGTTGAAGACAAAGAGTAAAAATGAGTATCAGGGTCCAGCAGTTGGCATAGTGGCTATGTCGCTGAACTCCCATGTAGCCAACCGCAGTTCGAGTCCCGGACCCGGTGGCTTAAACTCACGCTGGGCACATGTGCGTGCATGCCCAAGATCCTGAGACGGGAATGGAGGAGAAGGGATTGCGGATGGCCATCCCCCCCGGGGGGTGATTTCTCACTTTCTATCTCTCTGTCTTTCTCTGTCTTTCTGGTGAGCGCACGTGCCCTCTAGCAAAAACCTCTCCAAAAAAAAAAAAAGAAAAAAATGAGTATCAGGACAGGAAGCTGGAGAAGTAGAAAGGGGAAATTTATGGAGGTGCTTGTGAACCACATAAAGAGTTTGGACCTTGTCCTTGAGGCCAAGAGCAATAAATACCTTTCATTCTTATTTCCAACTCTGGATTACTGGTATACTGGTAGTCACTGTTTGGAGGTCTGAATTGAAAACCATGGAAGATCCTGCTAATTAAGACCCAGTTAGAAACAAGTCTGTCATTGATTAGTGATGTCTGCCATGCACACAGGATAAGAACTATGGTATGAGTGTTACTATGGTATGAGTTGTTATTGGTCCTTTCTGCCCAGGCAGTGGGTACCATTGAAAGTTTTCTTTTTAAAATATTTATTTTATTTTATTTATTATTATTATTTTTTAATTTGACCAGAGAGAGAAAGAGAGAGAGGGAAAGTGAGAAGGTTGCCAGGTCCAAGACTCAAACTGTGGTCAGTCCTGTGAGAGTCCAGTGCCTTAATTATCATGCCACCTGCTGGCCCCACCACTGAAAGTGTTTTAGCATTGTCGTACTTCGGAAAAATCACTTGGGCAGATGCAGTGAGACTGGATTAAGGCTGGGTCCTGGTACCAGGCGAGGTCGTAGTCAAAGAGATCAGCACAATGCCAGGCATCACAGGGGAGTCAAAGATGTGTGAAGCATGGTCTTTGCCCTCGAGGAACTCAGTCCAGCAGGGAAGTTGAGATTTACCCAAGTGAGAAAAGTTAAATGTCAACGTGAGTTAAGTAATCAGCAGAAGGAAGTGCGGCAAAGCCTCCCGAGCCTCTGAGGATAATGCAAGTAGGTCTCAAGCCGGTAGGGGTACCCCGAAACAGCTGGAGAGGGAAAGGAGGGTGTCCTGAAGGACTGTTGGAGAGGGGGAACAGTGGGTCAGGGCCAGAGGAGGTGTGGTCTGTGCCATAGGGCCTCCTCGCCCTGGGCAAGAGAAGACTCAGCCCAGGAGAACCCTTGGGGCAGGCACGGCAATGCCCAGCCTGGGGAAACCAGCCCTCCCTGCTGAGCACAGACCATGGCCCCTCAAAGGAAAGTCTTCCACTCTCCTCCAGAACTCTGGGCAGGCCCAGGGCCTGCGTGGAGGGCAGGTCCTGAGAAGACTCTGCAGGCTTCTGTCTTCACCTCATGGGCACACAGGGTTCCCTGCCTGTCACAAGCCCCTCAGGAGCCACTCCTGCCCCTCCACTTGCAGCTTCCGGAAGAACTTCGGCTTTGGGGAACAGGTGCAGGAGCGAAAGCAGGCAGCCTACCAGGTCATCCAGACGGAGCACAAGCTGCTAGGCCCCATGACCTTTGCAGAAAAGGCTGTCTCTGTCCTCTTTGTTATCTTGGTACTGCTCTGGTTCACCCGGGAGCCAGGTTTTTTCGTTGGCTGGGGCAACCTGGCTTTTTCCAATGCTAAAGGGGAAAGGTGAGAACTGCTGGGGAGAGGGAGGGCAGGCCCCCCTGGGGTTCATGTGTTGGGGAGGAGGGAAGCGAGCAGCGGGACCCTCAGTGCAGAACAGGAGGTGACTCCTGGGGATGGGGGAGGGGCAGGGAGCCATCAGCTGTGATGGGGGAGGAGCTCCTCACTACCATCTGCTCACCCTGCAGCCCTGACCAGCCTTCCCTGTCCCCCCCCCCCACAGCATGGTGTCCGATGGCACCGTGGCCATGTTCATTGGCATAATTCTATTCATCGTGCCCTCCAAGATCCCAGGACTGACCCAGGACCCAGGTAAGCACCTGGACTGGGCCAGGGAAGGGTCTCCAGAGAGCCCTGCCGTCGGACATGTACTGTCCCCTTGGACACACTTAGCAGGAGTAGACAAAGCCCAGAGAGACTGAGGTGACTTGCCAAAGGCCCAGGAACTCAGACCAAGCTGGGATGTGGCAGGACTGAGCACCCCCATCCCGCATGTACTGAGCTCCATCAGAGACCCACGCGAAGGCGGGAAGGCCCGTTCGCTCCTGGTAACTCGTCCTTCTCTGCTTGGGGAGTAGAAAAACCCGGAAAGCTGAAGGCCCCTCCTGCTCTCCTCAACTGGAAGATAGTGCACCAGAAGATGCCCTGGAATATCGTGTTTTTGCTGGGTGGTGGCTTCGCCCTAGCCAAGGGCAGTGAGGTGAGACCCCTCCCCCCAGCCCACTCTCCAACCTGATGGAGGGAGACCCTGTGGCAGGGAGAGAGCGCGTCCTGGTCTACCACACAGGGGGAAGAGCCTATCCCCTCTTAGGATCCCCATGGCAGGCAGAGCCTTTGCGGGTTAGCCTCCCATCAGAGGCAGGAGGAAGAAACAAGCCCTAAAGACAGACCTCACCCCAGCTGGATTCTCAAAGCCAAAGGAAAGGCAGGTTCCTCTGGTGGCCGGGGCCTGCACTGCCTACTAATCCCACTCCCCCCAGCCCCTAGCTCCCTGCCAGACAGAATGCATTACTTTTTGTTGGTTTATTTTTGACAGAGAGAGATTTTTGCTATGGGGCATATGTGCTCGCAAGAGAGAAACAGATAGAAAGCGAGAAATCACCCCTCAGTGGGGATGGCCAGACCACAATCCCTTCTCCTCCCATTCTCCTTCAGCGCCTCTCTCTCCAGCATTGGGTTGACATTGGCCACCTGATGCAGCCACCAGGGGGCGCCATAATTACACAGACTTGGGCCTAGAGCATCTTTCTCCAGAGCCTCCATCCAAAAGAAGGAAATTCCTAAAACTGCACCCCTGGACCTCAGTGTTCTGGTTGAGTTCCCTCCCTTCTCTTATTATTATTATTATTATTATTATTATTATTTGCTACAGAGCTTGCCTGGGGTGGGGGCAGTGGAGAGAAAGTAAGAAAGCACCTTCCGGGACCAGCAATTAGCGTAATGGCTATGTCACTGGACTCCCATGTAGTCAATCGCGGTTCGAGTTCTGGATCTGGTGGCTTAAACTCACTCCAGGCACGTATGCGTGCATGCCCAAGATCCCAAAAGGAGAATGGAAGAGAAGGGATTATGGTGTGACCATTCCCACTGGGGGTTGATTTCTCACTTTCTGTCTCTCTGTCTCTTTCTATCTGTATGGCGAGCACATGTGCCCTATGGCAAAAAAACTCTCAAAAAAGAAAAAGATTAAAAAAAGAAAAAGAAAGTACCCCTCCACCATGCCACAATCCCCTCTCCTCTACTCTCTCAGGATTTGGGGCACACACACACAGCCACCCAGCATTGTTTTCAAGCCTTCAGGTCTGGGACTCGAACCATGCAGCCAACCATGTGAGATCCAGCCACTTTAACCACCACGCCCCCAGCTGGCCCTCTAGTTGAGCTTTTTCACTGCACTTTTTTATTCCACAGGAGGCAGCTGCCCTGGGTTGGGGGTTGGTGCAGGGGTTGACCATCCAAGTGCCGCAGTAGGTGCTGGCAGCACCAAACAAGACCACGTCCCAGCTCCCCATGCCCGAGTGCAGCAGTGGGGCTTATGGCCCAGCACTGCGGACGTGGGTTGGCCAGACCTCAGAGTTCTTCTGATTCTGGACTGCGCCTCCTCCCATCAGCCTCCTCCCAGCCTCTATGAGGGCTGGAGAAGGCAGAGAGCGGTTAAGGCAGTCCAGAACTTCTGAGAGAGGTCAGGAAGGCAAGAGTAAATGAGGTCAAAGGTTTCACTCCCACCAAAGCCCAGGTTTCCCTAAAAGGGCTTCTGACCCCTCTTGCAGCTTCTCACCTGACCCATCTCCCATACCCAGCTGTTCGTCACGAGCCAGAGAGGGTCCCTGGGCTGTAGTGGGTCTTGTCTTTTGTTTGGAGCTCGCTGACTCTGAGGACTAGGCAGGCAGCGGAAGCAGGACCCTCCCAGAGCCTGAGCGCAGGACTCTGGGGCCTCCAGCAGCCCACCTCTCTTACCACCCCTGCCCACAGCAATCAGGCCTGTCGGCGTGGCTGGGGAACAAGCTGACCCCGCTGGAGCAAGTGCCTGCTCCTGCCATCGCCTTCATCCTCTGCCTCCTGGTCGCCACCTTCACCGAGTGCACCAGCAACGTGGCCACTACCACACTCTTCTTGCCCATCTTGGCCTCCATGGTAAGCTGGCCCTGCAGAAGCACCTCCTCCAGGCACCCCTCCTACCTGCCCCCACCAGGGGTTCTGCATGCTGAGTGGAGTGACCTGTCTTCACACCTCCTCTCCTTTCTGGGAGAGGACCCCTGAGCCTCCACCTCTCTCTAGGCCTTGAGCTACCCTGGCCCCTGACACACCCCATCCCTGGTGATGTCACCCCTTGGGTATCCTGACAGGGCTGGCTGTGGCCTCACCCACCTCTCCACCCCAGCCCCTGCTCTGGTCATTCCTTAGGACATGAAATTGCTCCCTGGAGCGTCCCCAGCCCCTTCCTCCTCAGGCGTGTCCCCGCAGCCTTTGATGACACTCTGGAGCCCCTTTGAGATCCGTTTTATGGGCCACTCCCCTCCCCACACCCCACAGGGCAGGGCGGCACACTCATCCCCTCCAAGGAGGTCAAGGGGCCTTCCCCAGGTCACCGTCAGGAGCGGTGGGTTCACGACCAGAGCGTGTGTTGGGGGCAGGGATTTTGCTCAAGAAGGGAAACAGCCGGACTGGGAGCCCCATCACTGCCCTGTCCCCCTCCAGGCGCAGGCCATCTGCCTCCACCCTCTCTACGTCATGCTCCCCTGCACTCTGGCCGCCTCCCTGGCCTTCATGCTGCCTGTGGCCACCCCACCCAATGCCATCGTCTTCTCTTTCGGGGGCCTCAAAGTGACGGACATGGTGAGTGGCAGGGAGGCCTCGGCTCTGCCCTGCTCTGCCTTTCCAGCCTGTGGGTCGCAGAGTCACTTTAAGCCACTGCAGTTCTCAGGGTGGGAGAGCTGGCCCCTCCTGGGGTGAGGGCACAGCAAAGGAGGTTGGGACGAGGGCCCAGGGCCACTTGAGGAGGAGGGAAGGTGTCGAGGAACATGGGGATTGCTCCAGGGTGCCAGGCTGCCCCTCTCGGGAAGATGGACCCAGGGAGAGCAAGGCGTGGGGCTCTGGACGCTCGCGAGGAGCCTCCCTTGTCCCTGTCAGCACTGGGAGTGCAGCAAGGGGCAGGCGAGGCCAACGGCAGGGCGTCCAGGGAGAGTTTTGCTCCTGAGCACCCCTGCACACCCGAGGGAGGGGTGCCGGCCCCACTCAGCACCTGCTGTCCTCACCCCAGGCCCGGGCGGGATTCCTGCTCAACATCATCGGGGTGCTGGTCATCACGCTGGCCATCAACAGCTGGAGCTTCCCCATCTTCGGCCTGCACACCTTCCCCTCCTGGGCCCACACCAACACCACCCAGTGCCTGTCCAGCCAGGTCAACTCCACCGGGCCTCGCCCCTAGGCCCAGCTACAACTGGGCCCCTCCTAGGGAGACCCACCCAGTTCCCACTCCTCAGAGCTGGAGGGGACACACCAAGCTCCATGCGTGCCCTGGGCCAAATGGAGAGAAAGGCACTTGTGCACACGGTCTCGTGAGTGTGCAGGGACGGTGCCTGCGCTCAGTATCTCCTGTACGCTGCGGGAAATGGGTGTGTACATATGTATGCATGTGTGTGTGATGCGAGGATGCCTGGAGGGTGCGTGCACGGGATCCTCCATGTAGATGCTTGACGGTGCACACGCGTGCACTCACAGGCAAGACCACGCGCCCTCTCTGGTACCCAGGTTTTCATTTTCCCAGCTTAGGGACCAGCCCCCGTTGCACTGTATTTATTGAAACTCAGGGTTGGGGTGGCCCAAGAGGAGGGCCTACTGGTGGTTGCTATGGAAACAGCCTCTGGGCCTGACCCAGCACAGGAACCCCCTTACCCCCACCCCTGCCATTCAGGGTTTGCCATTTGGGGGGTTGGGAGAGGGTTCAAATATTAAGCACATTAAAGTGTTTTTCAGTAGAGTCGGGTGTTTTTCCCGGCACTCCAGGGCTGCTGCGATGTGGCTCAGGTCCTGGGTTGGGGAGCACAGTGGAACGGGGCCTGGCCTCTGCCCTGTGGGGCCACCCCCTGGCACCTGTCCCACCCAAGGGAGAAGGTAATGGCCGGGCACCCCTGCCAAGGCCGATCCGAGTGGGCGCAGCCACCCAGGCAAGCAGCCCTGACATCACCGGCCGGCTAATTGGGAGCTGCCAGTCCCTGCGTGCCTTTGGGAAAACCGGCCTCCCCGTTCCCAGAGCACTCCCTGGGCATTTACATAAAACCCTCTGCCCCTGCCAATCCCTCAGCAGACCCTTCCTCCAGCTGGAAAAACCGGTCCCAGCAGGCCAGGGGAGGCAGGCTGACCCATGCTGGGTGCCCAGAAAGATGGCCCCTCACCCTAAATGGCAGCCTGCCACGGGAAGGGGGCCCTGAGACTCACAGGAATAGGCTCAGACTGGCAAGCCCCCCCCCCCCGTCCGGGCGGCCCGAGAGGCTGGGTCCGGGCGACCAGTGAGGCTGGCTCCACCTCTCGCCCCCTCTCCTGCACCCCACCTCCTGGCCTCATAGGCTCCAGAGCTTTCACTCCTGGGAAAGGACGGTGGGTGGAGAAGGTCAACACCACCCATTCATTTTGGAGGCTCAACACCCTTTCCTGCCTGGAAGGTCATCTTTATGTCTACCTCAAGTCTCTCGTGCTGTGGCGGTGGCGGTGGCGTAGAAGCCTCGAGTTGATCCGGTATAAGTTTCCTGGAGTCTCATCAGTCCCAATGGGCGGGAGAGGGAAGAGCAGTGGGCTGAGCTGTGAGGACAGAAAGAACTTAATTCTGGGCTCCCACCGCTGGGCTTTCACTCAGCCCTCCCAGAGCCGGGATCGTGAGGAGTGCAGAGGGGAGGGGGCTACTGCACGTGGGAGAACAGGGCTGTCCCCAGGGGACAGGGGATCCTGACAGGACATGCCAGCATCCTGGAGAGAGAAGTGTCAGGTGAGTGGCTCCGCCCCCTGCCCCCCCTTCCCTGGGGCTGGCATTCCTCACTCATGAAGCACAGCTGTAAATCACAGCTCCCACCTAGACCCACACCAGGACCCCTCTCCCAAAGCCCCAAGCGACAGTCCAACAGTCCCTCACCAGGAGCAGGGAGGCTCCAGAATGGTGGGCCTCCTGCAGTGACTTACCTAGCCGGCCTCCTAAGGAGCAGCCCCCGCCCCATCTGCAAGGAGAATCCTCTGCTATGACTTTCTTCTGAGCCCCGTTTGGGTATCTCAGGGCCAGTCCTGGGGGTGGGGTGCATCTCAGGGTACAGATGTCCCGTTCAGTGCTCTCGTGCCAAGTCCCACTAAGCTATGCTCAGAGAGGGCCAGGTGTGGACTGAGGTCACACAGCAGTCCCCGGGGTGAGGGTTGGGCTGGCCCTGCCTTCCCAGGGGAAGAAGTGGACACAAGGGAGTCTGAGGGATAGTTGCCCTCACTAGGCTGGGGGGCCAAGCCTCCCCCAGATACTCAGACACCACCCTCCTCAGCAGGCAGAGGGTGGATGAGAGGCAGGCAGCACCTGTCAGCCTAATCACCGTCATTAGCTGGGCAATAAAGCGGCACGGCCGGGCCAGCCTTTGAAAGAAGAGCCCGTCAGCCCGGGTCAGGCTTGTACAGGCAGGGGGGAGCGCAGGCCCCCCTGC